CCGGGTACGGGACACGAACCGCGGTCGACTACGTGGGAGCACAGCGACATAGCCATTACGCTAACTGCTGGGTCCCTTTTTTTTTTTTTTTTTTTGTTTTTGAGAGGTTTTTGCTATAGGGCACGTGCGCTCGGTCAGACAGACAGAGAGAGACAGAGAGACAGAAAGTGAGAAATCACCCCCCAGGGGGGATGGCCACGCCGCAATCCCTTCTCCTCCATTCTTCTCTCAGGATCTTGGGCACGCACGCACACGCGCCCAGAGTGAGTTTTAAGCCACCAGGTCCGGGACGCGAACCGCGGTCGACTACGTGGGAGTTCAGCGACATAGCCATTATGCTAACTGCTGGTCCCGCCAGCTGGATCTTGATCATGCACATGACTGGCATACTCAGGAAGGTCTCCAGTCGAGAATCCAGAACCTTCCTATGTGGGTCAGCCTTATAGACTACTGTGTTCTCCGGCTGTGTCCCTGTCCAGTCACATGTTTATTTTTAAAAAAATATTTTTTTTGGAGAGGTTTTTGCTATAGGGTGTGTGCGCTTGCCAGACAGACAGAGAGAGACAGAGAGACAGAAAGTGAGAAATCCCCCCCCAGGGGGGATGGCCACGCCGCAATCCCTTCTCCTCCATTCTTCTCTCAGGATCTTGGGCACGCACGCACACGCGCCCAGAGTGAGTTTTAAGCCACCAGGTCCGGGACGCGAACCGCGGTCGACTACGTGGGAGTCCAGCGACATAGCCATTATGCTAACTGCTGGTCCCCCAAGTGCTCTTTCAAAACAGTACCAAGAGGCAGCCCTGCCACCCGACCCTCTGTGCCTGGGACGGCTCCTCCCACTCACGCCCATCAGCTGTCCATCCCGAATCCTTGCTCAGGCTCGTCCTCTGCCCAGAGGCCCTCTACTTCTCCCTCCCCACCCTCTCCCTGTTGTGGTCCCAGATATGGCCACCTCACCTCACCTCCCCCACGCCAGGGTCTGTCCTGGGTCCTGACCCATCTCCCTGCTTGAATAACAAATACACGAGGTCTGGTTCACCTGGTGGGCTGTTGGCAACTCCCTGAACCCCCAGCACCTGGCGGACTACGCTCAATAGGCAAATGAATGAGTGAATGAATGGATGGGATACACAGTGCTCCGCGGAGGGGTATGGTGAGGGACAGGTGGAGTGCATGTGAGACTCACCTGGTCCCACAGGGCCATCTGCCGGTTGTTCCATCGGGATGTGCCCGTGGACAGCAGCTTCTTCAGCTTCCCCAGAAACAGCACCTTGCTGGCCCGGTGCCCCTTGTAACTGGCTTCCTGGAGGGACGCGTGCAGTCAGTGTTAGACGGGTGCCGGGAGGGGGCTCCTGAGTGGCAACTGGGGTTTCTGGCTCCCTGCTTTGCTTCCGTGACTGCTCCACCTGGAAGGCCGCCCTTTCTCACCCCAACTCTGCCCAGAGACTCCTTCCTGGGGCAGCACCTCCAGAAAGCCTTCCAGAAGCCCTCATCCACGTGGAGTCTTTCTCCACTCTTTTGTTGAGCTGTAATATTTTTCTGAGCCAGGATGGAGGCAAACCTCTGCCTAGCACCATGCTCTTCCTGAACCAGTCCTGAGGACCTTCCTCTCCCCACACCTCCATATATGAAAGGCGTGGGGCTGGCGGGCTCTGGCACGGGGGGGGGGGGGGGGG